TCTTTTTTTTGGTGCTTTATTGCTGTTTGTGTCCTCGCTTCCCACTTCCTGTTTGTCCTGTAACAACATAGGAAACACAACAATTCAGTTGTCACTAGAACCAGACAAAAAGGGAAAATCATCCAATGGGGACACTTATCTAAGGTGGGCACACTTGTGATCTCACATGCAACAAGATAACTATACAGGGCAGAGAAATACTAATCCGTTTCCATGGAGTCATATCCTCGGGGACAAGGGCGACTCCTTGGCATTTGGGTTGGTAAGAGAACAACGTCTCGCTTATTCGTCCAGCAAAGTAGTGATGCCATAGAAACTGGTGTGTTTCTCTCTCCAGTGACAGCATCACAACTGTGCCATGGCTCTTGAGGTCCCCACACACCTTGTGATAATCGTACGATAATCGCGGGAAATCCCGCAATCGTAAGGTGTGTGGAAGCCGTGCGACCTCTACTACTGTAAGCTTGCACGACTTTAAACTTGCGAACATGTTCGAAAACCCGCCGGGCATCGTACGATGTTCGGCTGGTGTGTAGCATGTTCGTACGATAAAAGCCGGACGGGCCGGTGTGCGCAAGCGCACACTGCCCGTTCGGCATTGCAGTCATCGGAAACCCGCCCCTCGGGGGGGCTCGGCTTGCGATCATCGCAAGTACGATCTGCCTGTCCAAGATTTTTTAAGTACCTTACAACCATCGCAAGACAAAAGTCTTGCGATGGTTGTAAGGTGTGTGCCCCGCATTAGATAGGTGTCCATGGAGTGGTGTCCTTGTTGGAGTCGTGTCTCTTTGACACCTACATCAGTGAGAGAACAACACCTCGTATATTCGTCCAGCAAAGTAGTGATGTCATAGAAACTGGTGAGTGTTTGTTTCTTTCTCCCAGGACAGCATCACAATTGTGTCAAGGCCCTTAGATAGGTGTCCATGGAGTCGTGTCCTTGCTGGTCCATCCATGGAGTTGCGTCCTCGCTGGCAAGGGGCGACAATTTGGCATTGGTGAGTGAACAACACCTCGCTTCTTCGTCCAGCAAAGTAGTGACGTAATAGAAACTGATGAATGTTTCTCTCTCCAGTGACAGCGTCACAAATGTGCCATGGCCCTTAGATAGGTGCCCCCACTGGACAATGTTCTCCCTCTCCTGGCTCTTGTGAACTGTTGTTTCCCATGGCCCCAAAAGGGGATTTCCCTTCACTTGGAAAGATTTCCACTCTCTTTCTATCGTGGCTCTGGGACAGAAAGTGAAGGGATACCCCCACATTTAGACATGACAAAATAACACTAATAAGTGGATTTAATCATTCACCCCTATATCTGAAACATCCAAATAAAAGATATGCTTCCAAAACCATTTTCTTTGGGATGCTGTAGAGAGAGGGAAAGGCGGACGTTCCCGGTGCTGGAAATGCTGGCCGCCAGCCTGTCATGTTGATCTAGGGGTCTCAGTACTTTGGGTCACTAACCTACACTAAGCATGTAGATGGGGAAAAGTCAGAGTGAAGTCACGGCTCCTGATCTGGATACTTGTTACAGGTCAGTGAGTACTGAAGAGGCATGACAGCCAGTCAGCTAGTATTTTCAGAAGGGAGCTCAGCAATAACAGCCTCCATAGGTCTTCAGTGTAGGTTGTATAGAAAAGCCAGCTAAGCAGAAGGGGTGCAAAAATCAGGGGGGAAAAAAGACCATCAGATCATAGAGATTAGTGTTATTCATAGCATTAGAAGTCTGTGTGTAAGTGCCAAGAAGTCTTGGCAGGTTTTTATTTAAAGGGATGTTTCATTTTCCAAAAAATGAAAAAATACACACGTATTGCAAAAAGAAAATGCACATTTATTTATTTTTTTACATTGGAGCCAGCAAAGTATTGCAACTGCAATCAGTGGATTGTAGGCACAGTGTTCAGGCTTCTCCCAACCAAGGTCCACATGGAGGTATGGACCTTCAGTTATGGAGCTGGAGGAAATTATGAATGGATTACAGGTGGGGGTGACATCACTGTGCTTGTGCTCCATTGAGAACGACGAGTCCCTCTGCCCCAGGGTGGGTATAACATGGTATGAATGGTGGAATTGGCCGTTTAATGAGCCCTGTTGTAATGCAATTTTATTACGTTGTACATTAATGACCCACCAAACCCCAGATTTTCTGTTCTTAAAGTAGGAATGTCCCCCCAGACTTGGTCACTGCTCCCTTGTTTATTTTATGAATCAGTTGTTTGACCTTATCTTGTAAAGTGCTGCTATGTGCAATGTCACAGAGTCTTTGTTTATTGTGCCTCAGGTGCCACATTCTGCCTGCTTTACTTCCCAGTGAGAATCCTTTGCTCTGTAATCCTGTTAATTGCACTTGGGGAAGCTATGAGCAGTTCTTTTCATAGCCGGTGGCTGTGGGACACAGAATGGCCGTTGTGTTGGTTTGGACACAAAACGGCATTGTGCAGTCTGCCTTCAGGACCCTTCGCTCTCTCGTTGCCATCTTCGCTTTTGGTGCTTGAAAATTTGTTGTAGTGGGCGGCCTGCCGTCAGCTTTTCTCAACTGATGCCCGTCTTCCTTGTGTCTGTCCTCTTGTGTTTTTTTCGGGTCCCCTCTGCAAACCGCTGTCCACCTCTGCCACTCCTTTAATCTGTAGACCTTAAGATGGCCTTAGACACTAGAGGGCAGTCAGATGTGCGGGCACGATCTGACTACCTATTGGCTATGTGTTTCCTGACACGTCTGCCAGATAAACCTCCGTTTGCAGCAACCGAAGATAGTACATGGATGCTCAACTGGACATTTCAGTTGGCCAAAAATACATGTTTTGGTAGACTGTTATCTTGTGTCTATGGATCTACTTACACTACTCCCGATCTAATTTTGCATAGGGTTCCGAACATTAACACCTAGCTGTCCCGTCAT